TGGTCCCCTCCACTGATAATAGTCTGAGGGGGTGTAGGTACTGGAGGTAGATTCATATAACTAGTGGGAAAAAAAAGTAAAGGAGTATGTAGGTCAGAATTTTGAAAGGGATGTGATCCACCAGTTGTAGAATATGAACTGTCAATGGTGTGTCCTAAGAATATGATAAGGTCACATGTTTTGTGTCCCCATGAAGAACCCTGCTTCTCCATGAGTGATGCAGACAGTGGGTGTGGAGGTAGTGACTAGATCTCATGGGGCAGACTAGGAACAAAGCCTACATTGGACCAAGGATTGTTTCCAGTTATGGTCCATGCTATCCCCACATTTTTGTGATGATTCCATTTCTCAGCAGTGTGTAACTAGTTAATTTGAGGCCTCACTGAGCAGGAGGGGAGATCCAACAGGCTCAGAGAGGCAGTCCAGGGTCATGAATTAGGAAGTGATGGAGCTGAGTGACACGAGTGACTTTATTGGCACTTGTGATTATAGCCAGGGTTACATGGTAAACCCAAGCTAACTCATTTCAAAGTCTTCAACATAAGCACATATGTAAAATTTTTCAAACATAATATTCATAGTTTCCATGATAAAAACACATATTTAGGTGAGAGCTTAGCAATATTGTGGAAATTGAGTTCTGAGTGAAGAAAATACAGAGGCACATGAGGACTTTCTTTGGAGAGTGGGCCAGAGAAGATGAAGGTGATTTTCATAGCCTGCTGGCTGTTGCTCCAGGAGAAGATCCCACCTCCTCTTTACCCAAATTTATAGGTGATTAGAAAGCACAGGGTACCACCTCCATGTTCTGGGTAAGGAGAAATATTTCCTGGAGAAGGGGTCATCTGATTGACAGGTAGATGGATATAGGAGCATGAAGTGGGTAAAGTGTGGCTTCCAGATCATGAACTTAAACTATCTAACTTACCCTATATCAACATCACTCGTTTGCACTACAATAATGTTGGGCAAAAATCATGGACAGACATCAAAACTAATGTACAACAAATAAATTTATAATTAAGATGGCATTTCAAAAAACTGTTGAAATAACTGTTGTAATAAATGCTGCAATTGTTGAATATTTGTCAGCAAACTTTATACATGAAAACACAGTTCATTTGTCTGGTTCCATTCATAATAATGGGAAACTAAAAAAGAATATATAAGAGAAAGAATCTCTCAAGAATGGTTAACCAGTCTTCATGGCAATTCATCACACTTGCTGAGGTGTGATTCCAAAAAAACAATTCCTCCAGACACTTCACAGTTTCAGAGACTTTTCTGTAAATGTAATCTTGTTTTCTGGAAATTTGCTTTATAGTAAAGGTACTCCCAATTCCATTACATTCATATGCCTTTGTGTGAGTTATCAGTTTACCATCTAGAGGTGACTGGTCGCACAAAACTTTTCTTTTTTTGCAAGTTTTCTCACTTCTGAGCCTCTTCATGTGAATAGAAGACTGACTTATAGCAGAAGGATTTTTTTCATATTCATTACATTGATTTTTCACTTTATGAATTCTCTGAAGTCTGTTGATGTCTAATTTCCAGCTAATGGAATGCTCATACTTACAGCATTCAAAAAATATGACCTGTTGTGAATTCTATATTCATACAAGCCTGAATTCCCAGAAAATGTCTTCCACATTCATTACACTAGACAGGGATGCCCACTTTCACCATTGCTATTCAATATAGTACTGGAAGTTATAGCCAAACCCATTGGGCAAGAAGAAATTAAAGGGATACAAATTGGGAAGGAAGAAGTCAACTATCCCTCTTTGCAGATGATATGATTCTTTATTTAGGGGATCCAAAGAACTCTACTAGACTAATGGAACTCATAGAAGAGTTTGGCAAAGTAGCAGGTAATAAAATCCATGCACAAAAATCAACAGCATTTATGTACACAGGCAATACCATAGCTGAGAAAGAACTGCTAAGATCAATCCCATTCACAATAGCTACAAAAACAAATACCTGGGAATAAACTTGACCAAGGATGTCGAAGATCTCTACGATGAGAATTACAAAACCTTAAAGAAATAGAAGAGGATACCAAAAAATGGAAAAATCTTCCATGCTCATGGATTGGAAGAATCAATACCATCAAAATGTGCATTCTCCCAAAAGCAATTTATAGATTCAATGAGATACCAATCAAAATATCGATGAAATTCTTCTCAGATCTGGAAAAAATGATGCTGAAATTCATATGGAGACACAGGAGACCTCGAATAGCTAAAGCAATCTTGTACAACAAAAACAAAGCTGGAGGCATCACAATACCAGATTTCAGGACATACTACAGGGCAGTGTAATCAAAACAGCATGGTGGGCCAGCGCCGCAGCTCACTAGGCTAGTCCTCTGCCTTGTGGCGCCGACACACTGGGTTCTAATCCTGGTCTGGGCGCCGGATTCTCTCCTGGTTGGCCATCTTCCAGGCCAGCTCTCTGCTGTGGCCAGGGAGTGCAGTGGAAGATGGCCCAAGTGCTTGGGCCCTGCACCCCATGGCAGACCAGGAGAAGCACCTGGCTCCTGCCATCGAATCAGCATGGTGCGCCGGCTGCGGCGGCCACTGGAGGGTGATCCAATGGCAAAAGGAAGACCTTTCTCTCTCTCTCTCACTGTCCACTCTGCCTGTCAAAAAAAAAAAAAAAAAAACAAAACATGGTACTGGTACAGAAACAGATGGATAGACCAATGGAACAGAATAGAAACACCAGAAACCAATCCAAACATCTACAACCAACTTTTAATTGATCAAGGAGCTAAAACTAATTCCTGGAGCAAGGAGAGTCTATTCAACAAATGGTTCTGGGAAAAATGGATTTCCACATGCAGAACCATGAAGCAAGATCCTTACCTTATACTTTATACAAAAATCCAGTCAACATGTAGATCTAAATCTACAACCCAACACTATCAAATTATTAGAGAACATTGGAGAAATGCTACAAAATCTGGGCACAGGCAAAGACTTCTTGGAAAAAAACCCCAGAGGCACTGTCAGTCAAAGCAAAAATTAACAATTAGGATTACATCAAATTGAGAAGTTTCTGTATTGCAAAAGAATCAGTCAGGAAAGTGAAAAGGAACCAACAGAATGGGAAAAAAAATATTTGCAAACTATGCAACCAATAAAGTTTTAATAACCAGAATCTACTAAGAGATTGGCCGTCACCAAGGCTCACTAGGCTAATCCTCCACTTGTGCCGCCAGCACTTGGGGTTCTAGTCCCAGTTGCTCCTCTTCCAGTCCAGCTCTCTGCTGTGTCCTGGGAAGGCAGTGGAAGATGGCCCAAGTCCTTGGGCCCTGCACCAGCATGGGAGACCAGGAGGCAGCACCTGGCTTCTGGTTTTGGAGCGGCACAGTGTGCCAGCTATAGTGACCATTTGGGAGGTGAACCAATGGATGGAAGACCTTTCTCTCTCTGTGTCTAACTCTGCCTGACTAAAAAAAAAAAAGAAAAAAAGAAAAAAAGAAAAGAAAAATAATAAAAGTAAAAAAATAAGAGATCAAGAAACTTCACAACAACAAAACAAACAACCCACTTAAGAGATGGGCCAAGGACCTCAATAGACATTTTTCAAAGAGGAAATCCAAATGGCCAACAGGCACATGAAGAATTATTCAGGGTCACTAGCAATCAGGGAAATGCAAATCAAAACCACAATGAAGTTTCACCTCACCCCGGTTAGAATGGCTCACATTCAGAAATCTACCAACAAGAGATGCTGGTGAGGATGTGGGGAAAGAAGGACACTAACCCACTGTTGGTGGGAAGGCAAACTGGTCAAGCCACTATGGAAGTCAGTCTGGGGATTCCTCAGAAACCTGAATATAACCCTACCATTCAACCCAGCCATCCCACTCCTTGGAATTTACCCAAAGGAAATGAAATTGGCAAACAAAAAAGCTATGTACACCTTAATATTTATTGCATCTCAATTCACAATAGCTAAGACCTGGAATCAACCCAAATGCCCATCAACAGTAGACTGGATAAAGAAATTATGGGACATGTACTCTATAGAATACTATACAGCAGTCAAAAAAAATGAAATCCGGTCATTTGCAACAAAATGGAGGAATCTGTAAAACATCAGGCTGAGTGAAATAAGCCAGTCCCAAAGGGACAAATATCATATGTTCTCCCTTATCGGTGACAACCGAGCACCTAAAAGGAAACCTGTTGAAGTGAAATGGACACTATGAAACAATGACTTGATCACCACTTGTCCTGACTTTCGAGGGAAATCTTACTACTTTATTACTTTTGATATTTTTTTGTTGTACTGGATACCATTAGTTGAACTCTTTATTTAACACTCAATTATTCTTAGGTGTTTAAGTTTAACTGAAGAGTGACCCTGTTAAATATGAGTGGGAATAAGAGAGGGAGCACAGGTACAGTTTGGCACATGCTCAATTGGACTTACCCATAATGGTATAGTTAGAAACATGCCAGGGGATTCAAATTTAATTCCATCAAGGTGGCATGTACCAATGCCATCTCACTAGTCAAAGTAATCACTTTTAGTTCATAATTGATCATAATGATAGGTCTAAGAGTCAAAGGGATCATATAAACAATAGTGTCTGCTAATACTGATAGAATTAAAAAGGAAGGAACCATAAAACATGGGAAGTAGGATACACAGCAGACTCATAGAATGGTAGATGTCCTGCTAAACAGCACTCTGGCCTCAGAATCAGCCCTTAAGGCATTCATATCTGGTTAAAAAGTCCATGAGAGTATTTCAGGCATGGAAAGCCAAGACACTGTGGCAAAAAAAAAAAAAAGTGACCTAAATGAAAGATCTCTGTGAGATCCCAGCAGAAAGTATGAGCCATCAAAGAAGTAGGTACCTTTCTCTGAAGGGAGGAGAGAACCTACAATTTGACTATGGCCTTGTCTAAACAAGACCAGAGTTGGTGAACTCAAGAGGCTTCCATAGCCATGGTAGCTCATGACAAGATCCTCGGTTGATTACTGACATCTATTTATGAGTGTCAATTGTTAAATCAACAACAGGAGTCACTGTGCACTTACTCCCCATGTAAGATCTCTGTCCTTAATGTGTTGTACTATGTGAATTAATGGCATAACTAGTACTCAAACAGTACTTTATACTTTGTGTTTCTGTGTGGGTGCAAACTGTTGAAATCTTTACTTAGTATACACTAAATTGATCTGTATATAAAGATAATTGAAAATGAATCTTGATGTGAATGGGATGGGAGAGGGAGTGGGAGGTTCGATTGTTGAAGGTGGGAGTGAGGTTATGTGGGGCAAAAGCCACTATAATCCAAAAGTTGTACTTTGGAAATGTATATTTATTAAATAAAAGTTAAAAAAAGAAACCCCCATCTGAATTCTCTGATGTATGATAGATTTGTGACAAATGCTTTTTTAACACTATTAATATTTATAAGCTTTCTCCGTTACATGCGTCCCTGTTGGATAAGATGTGATTTCCAGCAGAAAATTTTGTCCTAATACTTACATTATTTGAAGGGAAACTCTTCCACATTCAATATATACATTCTCTCTCTCTCTCTCTCTCTCTCTCTCCCTCCCTCCCTACCTCTCTCACTCTTTCTTTCTATGACAGAAAGAGTTAGAGAGACAGAGAAAAACATCTTTCTTATATTGGTTCTCCCCCAAATGGCTGCTGCAGCTGAAATTATGCCGATCCAAAGCCAGGAGCCAGGTGCTTCCTCCTGGTCTCCCATGCTGGTGCAGGGGCCCAAGGACTTGAGCCATCCTTCACTGCCTTCCCGGGCCACAGCAGAGACCTGGACTGGAAGGAGTGACCAGTAATAGAACCCGGTGCCCATATGAAGTACCGGTGCCACAGGGGGATGATTAACCAAATGAGCCACAGAGCCAATCCCTTATTATATTTTCAAAGTCTCTCCCCGTTCAAATTAGATGATGGATTATGAGGTATGACCTATGACAAAAAGCTTTCCCATGTTTATTTCATTCATAAGATCTCCACTTTGTGAATTCTGATGTTGTAAGCTGAGATTTTGGCAGACCTTTCCAACTCTCATTACATTCATAAGATTTCTCCCCCATGTGAATTCTCTGATGTCTTGTGGGGTATGACTTCTAAGTAAAGGCTTTTCCACAAGATTACTTTCAAAGGTTTTCTTCCCTGTATGAATTTGATTATGCGCAATGTGGGCTAAGTTATGGTAAAAGACTTTGAGTCATTACATTCATAAGATTTTCCCCATGTGAATTCTGTTATGCTTGATGAGGTATAATTGGCACCAAAGGCATATCCACACTGATTATAATCTTATTGTTCTCCCTTGATGGATTCTGTTATTTAATGAAAAGCAATTTGCACAAAAAGGCAATTGTGTGGAAAATTCCCTGTTAATTCTGTGATGTTTTATTAGTTGAAAATTATAACAAAGGGCTTTCTACTACCATTATTCATGACATTTCTCCCCATGTGAATTCTCTGATGCTTTGTGATGTTTGTCATATGAACAGAGGCTTCTGCACAGTTATTGCCATCATAAAGTTTCTCTCCTGTGACTTCTTTGATGTTCATTGAGCTCTGATTTGCATAGAAATTTGCAAAGAAAACTTTTCCACAGTCATTACATTCATAAGGTTTCTCCTGTATGGCTTCTCTAATTATTTACAAGGCTTGACTTTTGGCCAAAGGCTTTTCCAAGTCATTGCATTCCGAAGGTTTATCCCCTGTGTGACTTCTCTGATGCCTTTTGAAGTTTGACTTATGGGTCTTTACATTCATCAGTTTTTTCCCCTGTGTGAATTCTCTGATGTGGGTGCTAGAGCTGACTTACTCAGAAAGGCTTTTCCAGTCATTACATTCATAATCTTTCTATGCTGTGTGAATTCTCTGATGACTTATGAGGATTGATTTGTGACCAAATGGTTTCCCCAGTCATTGTATTCATAGGGTTTCTCCCCTGTGTTACTTCTCTGATGTAGGATGAGACATGATTTCTTCAGAAAGGCTTTTCCAGTCATTACATTCATAAGCTTTCTCTCCTGTGTGAATTATCTGGTGATTTATGAGGCATGACTTCCAGCCAAAGGCTTTTCCACAGTTACTGCATTCCTAAGGTTTCTCCCCTGTGTGAATTCTCGGATGATTTGTGAGGTATGCCTTCTTGCCAAAGGCTTTCCCACACTCATTGCATTCATAAGGTTTCTTTCCTGTGTGAATTTTCTGATGAGTTATGAGCTGTGACTTCCGGCTAAAGGCTTTACCACAGTCATTACATTCATAAGGTTTTTCCCCCGTGTGAATTCTCTGATGTAGGATGAGACGTGACTTCCACATAAAGGATTTTCCACAGTCATTACATTCATAAGGCTTATCCCCTGTGTGAATTCTCTGATGATTTATGAAATGGGACTTCCGGCCAAAGGCTTTTCCACAGTCACTGCATTCATAAGGTTTCTCCCCTGTGTGAATTTTCTGATGCGTTATGAGGTGTGACTTCTGGCCAAAGGCTTTCCCACACTCATTGCATTCATAAGGTTTCTCTCCTGTGTGAATTCTCTGATGATTTATGAGGTGTGACTTCTGGCCAAAGGCTTTCCCACACTCATTGCATTCATAAGGTTTCTCTCCTGTGTGAATTTTCTGATGTGTTATGAGCTGTGACTTCCGGCTAAAGGCTTTACCGCAGTCATTGCATTCGTAAGGTTTGTCCCCTGTGTGAATTCTCTGATGTAGCATGAGATGTGACTTCCACATAAAGGATTTTCCACAGTCATTACATTCATAAGGCTTATCCCCTGTGTGAATTCTCTGATGATTTATGAAATGGGACTTCCGGCCAAAGGCTTTTCCACAGTCATTACATTCATAAGGTTTCTCCCCTGTGTGAATGCTCTTATGCTTTGTGAGGGTTGATTTACAGTGAAAGGCTTTTCCACAGTCATTACATTCATAAGGTTTCTCTCCTGTGTGAATTTTCTGATGAGTTATGAGGTTTGGCTTCTGGCTACAGGCTTTACCACAGTCATTGCATTCATACGGTTTTTCCCCCATGTGAATTCTCTGATGTAGGATGAGACGTGACTTCCACATAAAGGATTTTCCACAGTCATTACATTCATAAGGTTTCTCCCCTGTGTGAATTCGCTGGTGCTTTGTGAGGGTTGATTTACAGCGAAAGGCTTTTCCACAGTCACTGCATTCATAAGGTTTCTCCCCTGTGTGAATTCTCTGGTGCTTTGTGAGGGTTGATTTACAGCAAAAGGCTTTTCCACAGTCACTGCATTCATAAGGTTTCTCCCCTGTGTGAATTTTCTGATGAGTTATGAGCTGTGACTTCTGGCCAAAGGCTTTCCCACACTCTTTGCATTCATAAGGTTTCTCCCCTGTGTGAATTCTCTGATGCTTTGTGAGGACTGATTTACAGTGAAAGGCTTTTCCACAGTCACTGCATTCATAAGGTTTCTCTCCTATGTGAATTCTTTGGTGATTTAAGAGGTGTGACTTCTTCCCAAAGGCTTTTCCACAGTCATTACATTCATAAGGTTTCTCCCCTGTGTGAATTCTCTGATGATTTGTGAGGACTGATTTACAGTGAAAGGCTTTTCCACAGTCACTGCATTCATAAGGTTTCTCTCCTGTGTGAATTCTTTGGTGATTTAAGAGGTGTGACTTCTTCCCAAAGGCTTTTCCACAGTCATTACATTCATAAGGTTTCTCCCCTGTGTGAATTCTCTGATGATTTATGAGGTATGCCTTCTTGCCAAAGGCTTTCCTACACTCATTGCATTCATAAGGTTTCTCTCCTGTGTGAATTTTCTGATGAGTTATGAGGTGTGGCTTCTGGCTAAAGGCTTTACCACAGTGATTGCATTCATATGGTTTTTCCCCCATGTGAATTCTCTGATGTAGGATGAGACGTGACTTCCACATAAAGGCTTTACCACAGTCATTACATTCATAAGGTTTCTCCCCTGTGTGAATTCTCTGATGCTTTGTGAGGGTTGATTTACAGCTGAAAGGCTTTTCCACAGTCACTGCATTCATAAGGTTTCTCCCCTGTGTGAATTCTCTGGTGTGTTATGAGGTGTGACTTCTGGCCAAAGGCTTTCCCACACTCATTGCATTCATAAGGTTTCTCTCCTGTGTGAATTTTCTGATGAGTTATGAGCTGTGACTTCCGGCTAAAGGCTTTACCACAGTCATTGCATTCGTAAGGTTTTTCCCCCGTGTGAATTCTCTGATGTAGGATGAGATGTGACTTCCACATAAAGGATTTTCCACAGTCATTACATTCATAAGGCTTATCCCCTGTGTGAATTCTCTGATGATTTATGAAATGGGACTTCTGGCCAAAGGCTTTTCCACAGTCACTGCATTCATAAGGTTTCTCCCTTGTGTGAATTTTCTGATGAGTTATGAGCTGTGACTTCTGGCCAAAGGCTTTCCCACACTCTTTGCATTCATAAGGTTTCTCCCCTGTGTGAATTCTCTGATGCTTTGTGAGGACTGATTTACAGTGAAAGGCTTTTCCACAGTCACTGCATTCATAAGGTTTCTCTCCTGTATGAATTCTCTGGTGATTTATGAGGTGTGACTTAAGGCCAAAAGCTTTTCCACAGTTATTACATTCATAAAGTTTATTCCCTGTGTTAATTATCTGATGCTTTATGAGGTGTGACTTCCACATAAAGGATTTTCCACAGTCATTACATTCATAAGGTTTCTCACCTGAGTGAATTCTCTGATGATTTATGAGATGTGACTTCTGGTAAGTGGCTTCTCCATGTTCATTAAACACATGAGAGTTTTCCACTACGTGAGTACCATAATGAATTGCATGGCAGAATTTATAACTGAATGATTTTCCACAAGGCTTACATGCATAGGGTTTCTTCCCTATATGTGGTCTATGATTTATTTTAAGAGGTGATTGATCAATGACAGGTTCCAAAGAACTACTATATTCATAAACTTTCTCTCTTCTGGGACTTTGTTGATGCATACTGAGGTTAGAATTTTTATAGAAATCATGTTCTATTTGAGTTGTCTTACCAATAGTGGCAGTTGATGTACTACTTTCTACCATAAAACGCCTCTCAGATTTACAAAATATATTTTTTCTTTGAAGACTTTCCCTTTTCCAATTGGTTCAAATGCCTGTTGCACAGTCTGATTTTTGTGCTGTTGATTAAGAGCCTCACAGATCTGGAGAGCATTCCCAGGTACATTAGTAGCATCAAATTTTTCTCCAGTTTGTAGTTGAACAGGCCCACAGTGCAGATACACATTGTGACATACATTGCATTCTTCAGGTTTCATTCCTGAATAGATTCTCTTTTTGATACTCAGTTTTGGAATATGGTTTGAACTTAAATGAAGTGTTTTTCTTAATTCAATTATTTTGGGAGTTGATGTCTTATTGTTTTTCATAACATTCTGATTCAGATTTTTGTCCTGACTTTTCTGGTTTTTCCTAATCAGGTCATCCCTTTTCATGGCAACTGAAGTGAGAAAAAAAAAAAAAAAAACAGTGCTGTCAATAAATCAAATATAATTCTTTTTCCTGGCATACTCATGTAAAAGGAATGAAGTTACTTGTATTTAAGAGGGATAGAATTAACAAAATGAATACAAGTCATTGCTTGGAATGTCTGCATCCAAAAACAGTGCCAATTTAAGCCCAGGATACTCTGCTTCAAATACAGCTCTCTACTAATGTATACCAGGGGGCAGGAGATAATGGCTCTTGTGCTTGGGACCCTGTGATACATCAGATTAGAATAGTTGGAATGCCAGGCTTTTGGTTTCAAATTAGTCAGACCTAACTGTTGCAGGTATCTGGGGAGGTAGCTAATAGGAAATCTCTTTCTCACTGTTTCTCCTCTCACTGACTTTCTGCCTTTCACAAAGGTGAAACAACTATATAAGATTTTAAAGAAAGGACATATGTTTAGTAAAAATAATCACCTATTGCCAAGAAATCAATTTTTCCTTGTCCTATTCATTCCAGTTCATTTTTCTAAAATTGTCTGTTTTGTACTTCTCTGATATTTCAAACATCAATATGGGAAACTTTTACTGGATCATTTTCTTGCAGGTGGAGAAGAGTTTAATGCGTCTGTATTCCAAGCAGGATCACATTTAAGGGACAAGATTTGCATCTGTGGTTATCTCATGTTCTGTCTTCCCAGGGAAACAGCATTTGTGGAATTTTTCTAATGAAAAACTGTTTTATATGCACTCTATTACTGTTTCCCCATATTTCTAAGGAAACCTGATATCCTCAGCCTCTGAGAACTACAACAGTTGCAGAAAGTTCCAATGTACCACCTTCGGTATACATTCACAAGAAATTTAAAGAATGTGTTTCTGTAGACCAGAATCTGCTTAATTTCTTGAAAATTTATTTCTATCTCATTGTGAAGTTGTCATCCCTAGTGACCTCCTTTCATTTTTTACATAAACACTTCTCTGTGATAATATGCAATTCTGGAGATTTCGATCAGTTGCGGATTTACACATGAAACTTCATTTCCTTTGCCTTTAATAGAGATACTGATCTCCATAGATACTGTAGAATAACTGTGTCTGAAGTAAGACTTGGAAAAAATTCATAGAAAGAGCACCACTCAACATCTGCTGCAATGATTCTACTTTGGCCTCCCTGACCATTATGTACACACTGACCTGGAAGGCTATGATGTAAGCATTCTTTCCCCATCCAGGGCTCTGCTCCTTGCTCCAACTTCAAGATCAAGTCAGGTTTGGTCATGCAGTGCCCTATTAATGGAAATAATGTAACACTTTGTGAAATCACTATCTTGGGTTAATTAAAGGTGAACAGCTTGGTCCAGGAGCTATGCAACAAATGTTCCAATTTGAATTCCTTCTCAGATGGTATATAATCAGATTCTTCATGGACTCAAATTCTATTCCTGTCCCTCATTTATAAAGTTTATTAATAGTGCTCACTTATTTGTCAAATAGTGAGAAAATGTTACCATTGGGCATGTGATGAGTGTCACTCACCCAAGGAGAACAGGCTGCTGTAGGTCTCCAGCATCACATCCTTGTACAGGATTTTCTGAGCTTGGTTCATGTTCTGCCATTCTTCCCAGGTAAAGTACACAGCCAGGTCTTCAAATGCTATCATCACCTGTGATAGAACATTCCTGGTCAACATGTCAACTCTGTCACATAACAAAAAATGGCAGTTGTATAACTTCTGCATGCATATGGAGGAAGAAGGAAGGATGCCATTTCATTTCAGATTTGTTGAGCATTTGGACAGCCACACAGAAGCATTCAACAGGGGATCATATCTGTGGTATAAAGGCTGTGAAAAATGCCCAAGCTGGAGGCAAACAGGAATTTCTGTTCAGAAAGGCCTGACTATGTCAAGGGCAATTGCACAGTAGGCTGAAAGGGGGACAATAGTCACTCTGGAATGAGCAATGTTCAGAAGAATGTAGAAGTATTCAGGGAAAAAGACAAGAAACCATCAGGGAAGCTATGAAGAGATTGTGAACAGAGAATTTCCAGGAAAACACCATGCACAGTCAATGCAATTATGGCAGAGAAAAAAATATTTTAAAAGAGACATTACAGACTTAACTTAGTGTTTATGAAGCCAGCTCAGATACTCTATCTCTGCATCAAATTTCCAAAGAAATTTCCTTGAGAAATTCTGTACTATAATCTGCATTTGTGACTGAGGGAAATGCAGAGAGATTTGTTCGTGAACCTGTAGTAGGCACCAGTATTATGGTGCAGCAGATAAGCCTGCACCCTCCACCTGCAATTCAGGCATCCCATGTGAACAGTTTGAGTCCTTGGTGCTCCACATGGGATGCCTGTGGTCATTTGTGAATGAACCAGTAGATGGAAGGTAACTCTTTCTTACTACCCATCCTTCCATATCTCTATTTGCCTTTCAAATAAGTTAATAAATAAATCTTGGGGCCAGAGCTGTGGTGCAGTGGGTTAACACCCTTGCCTAAAGTGCTGACATCTCATATGGGTGCCATTTCTAGAACCAGCTGCTCCACTCCTGATCTAGCACTCTGCTATGACCTGGGAAAGCAGTAGAAGAACCAAACCCTTGGGTCCTTTAACCCATGTGGGAGACTGAGAAGAAGCTCTGGCTCCTGGCTTCAGATCAGCACAGCTCGGGGCATTGTGGGCAGCCAGGGAGTGAACCAGCAGATGAAGATCTCTCCTCTCTTTCTCTGCTCTCTCTCTTTGTAACTGACTTTAAAATAAAAAATAAATTTTTAAATAAAAACTTAAAACATGAAAGAACCTGCAATAGATATGCTATCTCTGAATCAAGGTCAGCTTCCCCAAATTATGAAGGTCTGCATTACTCTAACAATTAAAAAAATAAATGCAATTGATTTGTGTTTTAGCACTAGCTAACTCTTACCCTTGCAGAATGTTCAGTGTTTATTTCCAGGGTGGTACTGAAACACTGCCCACTACATCATCTATATAACAATAATGACTGTATTTGACATCAGGACCCCCAATTTCAAATATTATCCTTAAAGCCTCATTTAAAAATATAAATAATATGTATTTTGCTATGGCAACAGAAAGATGAGACCAAATTGCCTTATGTTAGATTACTTCAATGCTTGATAGTCATGACAAATTCATTTGTCTTGTTTTTATATATTCCCTAAGAATAAAATTTATCTTTATTTTTCCATTTTTATTAACAAATTATTATAAATCTAAAAAGAAAACTGACAGCAACCTGAGAATAATTAAAAAAAAAAAAAACACTTACAGGGCCAGTGCTATTGCACAGTGGGATAAAGCCCCAGCCCTCAGAGCCAGCATCCCATATGAGTGCCAGTTTGAGTCCTGGCTTCTCCACCTCAAATCCTGCTCCTACAAATATTACTGGGAAGGTACTGGAGGATGACTCAAGGGCGTGGGCCCATGCACCTATGTGAGAGATGCAGAAGGATCCTGCCTCTTGCCTGTAGATTGGCTCAGCTCTGACCATTGTGGCCTTTTGGGGAATGAACCAGCAGATGCAAGACTCTCTTTCTCTCTCTCTTTTTCTGTTACTCTCTGTGACTATGTCTTTCAAATGCATAAA